CCCCGGCATGGCCTGATGTTGTCACAAGTCGACACATTAGGGGGTACTCGATGAAATGCCAGCGCTTAATCACAACAAATGCATTCCTGGATGCAGGGAGAAGACTGTACTTTTCTCCCTTACACAGCGCTCCAGGCAAACTCTTGATTATGTTTTACTTTTGGGTAGCTCCATGGTCGAACATACAGTTTGGACACAATCAGCAGAGTGCATCAATCAAATTAAAGAGTTCCAATTATAAAGTGGATTTTAATTATGATGAAACGTATCAGTTAATCACAATGATTTAACCCTCCGTTTGTTTGATCAGTCACAGACAGTCAAAAGTTCAATCCTGTTCCCTGCCATGCCTTTTACACAGGCTAGTCACCAACAGTCAAGACCATACATGTATTTCTTTTAGGCACTGTGACAGTCAAATTCCATCAACAGACAAAAGCAGGTGACTGGTAGGCTTATCAATCTCCTACAGTCAAAGCATATGGTTTTGTAAAAATCACAGCCAGTCAATCCTGCTTTATGAGTATGCAGGGAGCACTCAACTGTTAAAAACAGTCACTTGATTTTATTTTGACTGCTGGGCCGGCCTTGTTAAAATTGCCAGCCAGAGAGGGAGGGTTTTAATTTTAAAAAAAAAATCATCCAACTTTTTTAGCTGTAGTAGAAAAAAGAAGTCGGCTCTAAACACTGTGTCGGATGTACTCAAACAAATTGATTATTTAGTTTTTATTATTTTTTCAGTTCAAAGTAGCAGCTGAACTGTTGAACATTGTTAGAAATAAAGTCTGCCTAGTTCTGTCTCACTTTGCAAGAATGCCTCACATTTAGGGAATTTGGTACGCTGCATACAATGTACAGGATTTTTTCCCCAGTCGAGGTTCTTTAGTTGTTGTCCAACTGAAGAAGGAGATTAACCCAACTCTTGCACTTTACTCTCTCCGAAAAACCAGTCGCTGATTTAATTCTCATGATCCGCAAATGCAATACACCACATCATTAATTTAATAAAAATCGGCGGAACGGATTAGCATTATATCAAGTCACCCTTGTAAGTTGTATAGTAGGTTCCGTTGCCAGTGCAGACCGGTGTACGGGTGCAGCATGCACAGCATTATCCGCACGGCATGGTGCCGGGGCTAAACTCTGCATCAACTCCTGACTCAGGTTAACTTCAAATTTAAGGTTCAGTCTCAGGGCTGTAAATTCCTTGAATCGGTCTCCGACTGAGCTCAGAGTCCTGAGAACAACTGTCTCATTTGGATTATTGACTAGAATGTATAGGCCTAATTGTGCTTCTCACAGTCACAGCAACGATGTATGGCGTAAACAACAAGCACTGTACATGTAACATGTACAACGTACATGTACATGTTCATAACATGTACATGTACGGTACCACACACAGTACATAATGGAGTTCTTCGCTAACTGTAACTTTCAAATCAGCAATCGTCAATGCATCATATTATGGTACATACACTGATCAATCTGAACTTATTCAGTTGCAGCTTGCATGAGACTTTTTGTAGCTCTTCACTGAATATTAAATTCAAGCAAACTTGAATCCTCGATCCTGATTGGTCGATCCATGGCAACAAACTGCGCTAGTTTACCTAATATCGCACTTTGTGTAATGAGCTATTCAACGATGCGAGCGCCATTCCAGCTACGCCAGTAAAAAGACAGCTAAACGGTTTGTGTGTGTTCCATCGTTACTATGTGTCAAGTTTGCTTGAAATTTGAAGATAAATTTGTTATCCCACTCGCGCTCATACATGTATAACAAGGAAAATATCATTGATGTCCTGCAGTGGCAGTTATCTTCTATTCATACAACGCGACCAATCCACAGTTTCCATCTGCTAGCCTTCACTTCATCACTGATCCTCTTTAATTTGGTTCTGTGGAATGTTTCTTCGTTTGACACGACATACATGTAACGCCATTCTTTTGAGGCATTTGAATTGAAATGTGTCCAGTTTCTTTTTGTCACTTTCATTGATCTTCCATGTTTCGCAACCTAACACTACTGATTACGAGTGCGTTGAACAGTCTTTATTTGGTTTTCAATGAGGCCTACTTGTTTGAATTCCAAACTTGTTTCAGTTTCATCTGGAGTGCGTCTGTGTCCCACATACATTGTACATTTGCACCACTCGGTCTTCAGCCTCATGGCATATGGTACACAGACACACTACATGTACATTATTCCGCGTTCCACTCGCGCTCACGGGATAACTAATATTATCTGTAGGACTTTTATCTTTTAAACATTAAGCAGGATATATTATTCTTTTATTAAAAGTAGAACCAAGAAATTGATTGCCGAGGGTTTCAAACCCCAAACCTCGGACCTCTGAATTACCATAATGGCAAATTACCATTCTGGCAGTTTAAACTCTTTCCAAGTAGTCCTTATAACCCTTACTGCCCTGAATCCTTCAAAATCCTCTTTGCCTTAAAAGTGGATTAATTTGGAGGATTGAGGTTACATGGCAAAAAAGCGTTACTGATTTCGTAGGATGCACTTTGTCAAGGTCTTGGGCCAGATCTTGTGTTGTTTTTGTTCAGCCATGCATTCATTGTAAATATAGGCCTGGATTATGTTTGAAATCCTCTGTACTGCTCCAGGATGTCACTGGCCAAGCCCCAACATATTGACAGTCACTGCCGCAGGATTTTGCAGGATTCAGGCAGTGGTCTCCCCTCCATGGACCATATTCAAGAAATAATGGAGGAATGTGCAGGATTGAGGCTATGCTATTTTTCCATGAAGCCATTTGGAGGATTTTGCAGGAATGAGGCTACATCCTAGCAAAAAGGCCAAGGGAGTTAGGGTTTTAATAACAAATTACCACTGGATTAAGTCATGTCTATGGGAACAATATGCTTATAAGTGCGTCTATTTTGTTGTGGAGGGTTCAACAGAATACAACCCAGTACATCTCAGCTGGCTGGAAAAACAGGAACCTGAACCTGTTTGCACAGGCGAAACTGATCCAATAGTGCAAGAAAAAAAGAGATAACTTTCAACACTTGATTTGCCCAGGAAGTCTAGAACAAGCAAGCCCTTGGCAATCGCCGGTCAGTTAGCTACGGTCGAATAAACACAATCTCCCATCGCCATCTGCTTATTTATGGCAGCGCGTTCTCCAATTGTATCACATCGTTTGCCGCTTGACGTGGGCTGATTGAAACGGATCCTGACTCAGAGGAAACCGACCGAGAAGGTGTCGGGAAAACTGAAATTTTGATATTTTGAGTTGAACTGGCTGCTTGTTTTTCCAATTATAATTGTTACGCTTGGTGAAGTTGGCTGCCTCTTGGAGCAAATGACCGGGCCTACGTGTGGGTACCAGAGAGTCAGTGTCACCATTGTAGTAGGCAAAGATCGCAACGCGCACCGCACAGTAGGTTTTAGGCCAGCCTTCAAAGCTCTGATGGATGGCAAAAATTGAGAGAAAAACGCAGAGCCAACACCCAATGCTAGGTCGGCACAAGGAAAGAACATTCATCCTGGTGCGTCTTTTCCCATCATAATATATTATCTCAATACTCAATGAAGGTCATTCACTGCAAAAATGTTGAAAAGACACGAATCTGGGACTGAGAAACATTTGCAATTTTGTTAGGAAATTGAAAATGTAACCGACTCTCCATTAGAAGTGGTGTCTGGATACATTCTTTCCCAGCACAATTTTATGGAAGCCCTACATACGTGTACATAGCACAGATAGTGACCATTATGCCATTTGATAAAGAATTTGTGGTTATTTTACATGAAAATAAGCCCTACTGCGCACAACATAATTACTAATAAATGCTTGCCAACTGCAATGGTGGCCGATCAAGGGGAAATGTGGGATGGCCACATTGACCACTGACGTGAATACTACTATCGAGGGATTAAAAGATACTATAAAAGGCTTTTATTTTATCTTCACTTGACTGAAATGTTCAAAACTTAGCAGTGGCTTTTATAATTTACAGAGAGAAAAATAAACTGTATGACATCAGTATATTTCTGACGGTTCATCATAATTATTTGTTGGGAAAAAAAATAAATAAGTGGATGTTTCAAGTCAGATTTGTTCAATGAGTGAATTTTTAGTTGGTGTAGGAATTTGACAATGCATTGGTTTGGCAAGTTCATTTTACCCAGCAATTTTGTCTGTGTTTTGTTTATTTTTGGATACACCAGGCATTGTTGAAAGATGTACATTATAATGTATGTGCACTAAGCATGTAGACTATCTGGTACCCCGGTACATATGAACACATAAAAACGTGTGTATTATTATTATTACACTCACACGTGTTATGTATTATCGCACTCCTGTGTGTACATAAAATGTTTCGTGTTCCTTGTTAACTCACGGGAGCCAGACAGAAGACTGATATAATCTTTGTATCTGGCACCACAGACAAATAAACTGCCTTGCAGAAAATGAATTGCGTAGCAGAGAGCTTACTTAATACTTGGCAGAATTTGGCTTGGCAAACCTTACCAGACATTTTCAAAAATATGGTTTTTTTTAACTGGTTGTCAAAAAATTGAGTTTTCTCAAAAAAAATTCTGCATGATGGTTTAGAAGTTGATACTGCATTGGACAGCCATCTCAAAATCGGCAGTTATAACATTTCGATGACTAAAGCAAACACAAACTTTGCCCGGTTAATCCCAGTACAAACAGTCTATCAGCATCAATGATCCTTTAACTATTTCTCTATCTGTTGATTCAAACTCCTACTTCCTGATTTGAATTCATTACTTTTATGGCAAAGAATAAATGTAGACCTTAATTAATGTGTGAAACAAATCCAACAGTACACCATTAAATATAAACTCAAGAATATAAGTGTTTGAGCAAATTGTACAAAATTCTTTCCGAAAACGGTTTTCTGTTAAAACTGAAGAAACTAAAAAAAGAGGAATGCGGAAAACACAGCCACATAAATGACATGTATGAACATTTTTACACCGGTAATACGCTACTCACTTTGTTTCGCCTTAACTTTGGCGACAATCCGCTGAACCTGCGCAATATCCTCTTCCTTCACGGCTTTCAGTAACTCCATATCTTTTCCCATGTCTCCACCCTAACCAATCGGTGAAATTCCAGGCAAAATCATGATGAGGAATAATCCTAGCCGCGGCTCCGTACTTTCTAAATTACAAAGAGAATTAATCCAAAGGCTTGTTTCTCGTGGGAACGGTTCTCAACATTTTAGCACTTTCAGTTCTGCAAAAAAAGCTCACACTTTGGTTTTAACAAAACCCCATGTTTACAGTACGGAGTCATTCATGCGTGTGTATTTGAATGGCGCGCACTCCACCTGTGCACAGTCAATGCACACTACCACTCCACAAACGGTAAAAGCTATGCGGTGGCCACTGTACCTATGCGGTTTGCGGTGAGCAACTTTTCCCAAGTTACAAAAATCCGACCGAAAACAGGTCCCAAACGGCACAGAAACGACAAGAAATCCTTACACGTGATCGGTATAAATCCTCGAATGATGCACACGAAGTTACCAGCAATTACCCGGTAGTTTCCGTCAGTGGAGACGATCCGTTCAATGTCCGAGAACCCACTTCGCGGTATCACTAAACAGAAATGACTTTACGTCATCAAGGATAACACTCAGTACAGAACCATGTACCAGAAAGAAAAAAAATGAACCCACTAAAATTGAAGTGCGCCCTCTTGCGGTAAAACCGTTTAGGCTAGGTGTATGCAGGCGCTTGACACCAATTACAACCGCCCCCCCCCCCCCCCCCAAGTACCTAACTCTACAATCTGATTAAAAATCACTGGAAATTAACATTTAAACTATCTATTACTTTCTATCCATTTCTGTCTTTTTTTCTGGGGGGGGGGGAGGAAGGGGGTGGGGGAGGAGGCGGATTGGGGTCGCCTGTAGGGAGCAACAACTTTTATTTGATGGTACCCCTAAAGTAAAAGTACTATAAAAATAGTCCTTTGGCCGACCACCATTTTGAAAAGTGATTTCATCAAAATTTCACTCAAAAATGACTTGCATATTAATAAATTAAAGGAACAATCAAATGGCCAAATTATTTAGTTTTTTTTCCCCAATACATCCTTCTTCTGAACTCTGTTTGCTATTTAATCCAGATTTAATTCACATAGTACACAATATAGACAAACTTGCCAATTATTATATTATAAAAATTTATTTCAACTGAATTATTTTGTTTCTTTAATAAAAGAAAAAAAGTTGTTTTCAACTAAACTACAACCAAAATAACAATATTACAATAGCAAACTATGGAGCAGTTGGTTTGTTGCTTCTGTCTAGATTGGTTTATTTGTTTAGTACTCATTAAAAACAAAAGATGCAAGTGTCACGTTATTTTTCGTCAATCCAAACTAGGGAGATATTTGAATGGGTGGTGAGTATTCGTTCATTAGTTTGTTTTTTGGTTTGTTTCCAAGTCTCTTCATTTTCTTCTTGTTTGTTGTTGTTTTACTTTTCAATATCGCTGCAGAGAACAATTTTCTCATGCCATGGGACCAATGAGGACTTCGTGTAGGACGTTAATGACTCAACTCGAATCACAAGTTTCTGCGACTTGACTCGAGTCACAAATTTCTGCGACTTGACTCGAGTAATAGGCAAATGAGTCAAATTGAGTCACTGCAAGAAAATGACTCGACTCGAGTCACTGCAAGCAACTGACTCAACTCAAGTTAAGTCTAGCTCTCATCAAAAGACTTGACTTGAAGTGTAGTCAACACTCGAGCCCCAAAACTGCGCAGAAAAAAAATTGAAAAAAAAACCTGTCACAAACAACTTTCCAGTTACTAATGTTAGCCTCCCTACTTCATGTCAAATTCATAAAAATAGAAACAAACAAATGCTGACTCGACTTGACTCGACTCGACTCAACTCGAGCACACCATGTGAATCAACTTGACCTTGTTGACCAAATGACTCAGCTCGAACCACTGTTTTAAAATGACTCGACTCGACTTGAGTTGCAAAATCCAGTGACTCATTACAACACCTGGCTGTATGACCACTCACAAGTTCAATGCTTTGTGTTTCCCTTTGTCCCTGTAAAAACACTCTCCCATAGACTAAGCACACAAACCTACATGTACTACAGAGGACTGTTTTGAACAAAAGACCCAACTCCCGAGGACTGAAAGGATATGTTGTTCTGTGTGTCGGTCCTCGGGGGTCATGTAGAACACGTACATATACACGACTGATTTTGGGCAAGACTGCTGTGATAACCAAAACAGATCTACAAGTGGGCGCTAGATGCACAGTGCCGAATGCCTTTGTATTTCTGTCATATCTAAATAGTCCACAAACATAGGAGAAAACCACAATGACGTCAGTTCTCAATGTGGCCGAGTTTTTTTGAGTAACTGAGCACTCAGTGAGTGATCACTCCTTGGTTTTTGCCTCGTCATTGACCTCGGCATCTGAGGATGACGAGGAGGAATAGTTTTCTTCGGTTGTCTGTCCGACAAAATATTCCTGATTTTTCGTTAATTCTTCCTGCAGGAAATCTTTGATCATGTCTGCTATCTGTTGATGATCTCTGTCGGGAAACAAAAATACAAACAAAAACAAATCATTCAAGATGTAAACAATTCATTTTTTTCATTTGAAATTTCACCAACTCAATTTCAATTGCCAATTAAACTGTTCGTCACAATTACAAGTTTGATGTCAACAGATTTTGCACCGATTCTGAAATATTTCTTACCCTAAACTGTCTGTTATTTGACTCTTTTAATTATGGAATATTTAGTGCGTTTATTGGGAAGAAATTAAAGCAATGCACAACAGGTGTGGAGCCAATTAAACCATGCACAACCTTATGATCACGAAACACAATTCCGTCTATAGAAGTCTTTATTTCCAAAAATCAGTCAATTGAGTGATCGTTGGAAATCTCTGTGATTGTGATGCAATCAAGATAAATGAGTCGTTTGTCGACCCTGGTCAATTTTTGTTTTTTTTACAGATTTGAAAAGGGCCCAATCTCAGCATTACTGCTGTTTAAACCGCGTACTGATACCATCTCTAGTTCAAAAATTATGGAAGTTGGAACACCAAGAGATGTGATGAAGTGATGTGATGAAGTGGCCCTATTTTGGCCTGTATCTCCAAATGAATGTTCCTGACAAACGACTCATTTAGCCTGATTGCATCACATTTCTTGACTTCTTCTAAATGACAGCAAGCCAGATGGAATAATTTCACGGGGTATTTAGTACCAGTACGATCTTTAATTCAAGTAAGTTTTTGGATAATAATTTGGTATTTTACTTTTGGGATAAATGCAAATTATCGTATGATTTGACTTTCAAGCATTTGAGACTCACTTTGAATTTCCCAGCGTGCATTTCTCTGTGACTGGTAGCACCATTCCAGAGGTCATCTGGAGAGCAACGTAGTAGCCACGCCCAAAGAATTTAATATCCTCCTGCTCGACTTCAACACTACAAACCTCCGAAATATCAGCAACAACTGCCAAAATAAAAGCAACATCAAACAACAAACAAATAACACAGGAGAACAAACATTTCCAAATTCAAACTTTTCTGTTTCGGGACGGAAGAGTTCTGAAGACAAATTGTTTACTTTTAGAAAAGATAGGCCTATTTTTATTTTTCAGTTGTTGGAAAAATTGAGTAAATCACTATATATTCTGCAGTTTATTCTGGGGATTGTGAGTTAAAGATGAGTTTGAGTCCGGCCTATTGCGTTGTGTGTGTCCCAAGGCAAGACACTTTACACTAATTGCTTCTCCTCAACTAAGAATGAAATGGGTGAGTACTATGAAGGCAGAGTTTTTATTGTGTTTCAATAAGCATCAATCGCAGCATCAATGTGTGCACATTGTCATTTGCATTGTTACGTCCCAACTACGGCATCATCCCAACTATAGTTGGTACGATGCCAACTACAGATAGGATCATTCCAACGATTGTTCAGACTGTCCAAACAATAGTTGGGCCAGTTCCAACCATCGTTGGGACCATTGCTATTTAGTTGGGGCGTAACATCATTTTCAATTAGGAATAGAAAAACCATCTGAAATTTTTCAATACTCTGAATGCTTTTATTTTGTTTGTTGTCCAACGACAGTTTTCAGAAGATGGCTCGTGAGCGTTCTTACCACTCCTGGCTTTCTGGAACGGCATGATGAGTCTCTCCAGTAAGCGATCCCTCTCCAGCTTGATCAGGGATGAACCACGGTCAATGATACAACTCTAATAAAAAAATATAATTTTTTTTTTAAACTGGCCAATAAACAATTTTTGTTTCATTGTAGACAGTAAAACTGCACCAAATATATCTACAAAAGTGCAGTTTAGGCCACAAAAAAATAATGGTTCCGCTTCCGGTTACCCTACCTACCCTATTTCGACAGCCCCTACATGTACCCTAATTTTATTTAGGGAAAAATGAGGAAAAATACCAGAAAACCATCAATTACTACAATTTACCCTTGACTACACACAGACACCTCCATATGACTGTACACACAAAAAATTGCAAAACAAATTCCCTACCTACCTACTCTATTTTCAAATGCCATGTAATCAGAAGCAGATTTTTTTTTTTTTTGGCCTTATATGTCATCGTGCAGATACCTTACCCAATGACTGTCTTTGCCAACATGAAATGTTTGACCTAATCCTCCTTTACAGACCTCAGCTTGAGTTAAGAATCATAGATGTGTTAACATATGTTCATCATGTCATGCATCAATGACCCTCAATTACAACAATGGTCTTATCACTGAATGGCCTATATAACCATAAAAGTTGTTTTCATCTATTTGGCCACAAAAAAAAGTCTCCGGTTTCTGGTATGGAGCTTGCCCAAAAAGTGGTGCGGCGACGCGGCTTTTTTTTTTTTTTTTACCCGTTTTTTTTTTTTTTTTTTGCTTCAAATGTCGGCTGATGACTACAAATGGTGCCCGACTAAACTTAGTGCAAATATATGGGAGTCCAGAGAGGCCACATAAAGCTTATTCTCGATCATAACCCCATCTAAAAACACGTTAAAATTGTGCAGCAGCAGGATTCCAGTCAAACCAGTGAGTTTGGCGGTTTTGAGACATCATCTTGTATTGAAAAAAAAACTTTTTTATTTTGCCGACGCACATGGCTACGGCGACGCGCGCGCATACCAGAAACCGGAGACTTTTTTTTTTTTGGCCTTACAGACCTCAGCTTGAGTTAAGAATCATAGATGTGTTAACGTATGTTCATCACGTTATGCATCATAAAATGACCCTCAATTACAACAATGGTCTTATCACTGAATGGCCTATACAGCCACATAAGTTGTTTTCATCTATTTGCTCTTCTACATAATTACGTGAAGATAAACCAACCTCCCAGTCATCAAGAGATGAAATGGCAACAAAGACAGTGCAGAAGAACCAGAAGAGCTTCCAGAGAATTCCTTCATCGGAGTAGATCAACAGACCCACTCCCATTGATACAATACCTGGGGATTATTAAAAAGGAAATGGCTTTACACAGTATTGAGAGTCCCAGATTGTCGGACTAGCTTTCATCCATCAGTTCCTGTGGCCGACTCAAAGCATCCTGCCTGTTACTCCAACTTTATACCCTAAACAGTCAGGGGCTTTAATTTTTTTTTGGGGGGGGGGAGATGAATGAGGATGCAGCTGACAAAACATAACACGAAAATAGAATGTGTTGATCACCGCAACGCACTTTTCAAGATTTAAAAAAGAGGTCATTTTGGAATGATGAAAACAATCTTTACTCTAAATTGGCCAAAAATAAAAAGTGGACAACCACCAAAACAGTGGCCTCAGTTGGCTACATGTTTAAAAAAAAAAGTTGTTTTTTACATAAGATGAAATTTTTGCATCGGGGTGATGTAAATCATGACATGTTATTCTTTCCTCGACAGTTTTGACCCTGCAAAGTGTGTTATTTTGTCACACGCACCTTTAACAACAACAAAAATACTTTGTACGGAAATAAATAGTCTAAAACTTAAGTGTAATTTATGCTAATGAAAAAGGCACATGTAGCATGAACAACCGGTCCCCATAACGCCAATTAAAATGCAGGTTATGGCATTGAAAATGAATACTACATAAACGGGCCTGTCATTTTGAGATGACGAATTCGTCACACCATGGAGGTAGATTCTCCATGCTCACACTCACACTGTCACACTCACCAATAAAAGTTGCCCATGATCTCATACCAGGAGCTCTGGCCAGATGTAATTTTGACTTTGAACGACTCAGAACAGTCATATAAGCCATCGTCTGTTCGAAGGATCTGGAACCCCAAGAGGAAGTCAATTCAAGAAAAGAGTGCACCACCAAACCCGGAAATACAAAAAAAACCTGAGTGACGCACGTGTTTTGTCCAGTGGTAAATAAACAGCGCCCTCAAGAGTTCAGATTCCACACCCGGCTGCGCTCAGGAAAAAAATGGACAGAGACACAGATTTTCTGGGCAGATATCGCTCCATTTCCAGTAAATTAAAGAAGTGAGTTTACGTAAATTATATGGAAGGTGATCGTCTTTGTTTTTGGAATATAGATTTGTTGAACCAGGGGACGAAGATTACCTGTGATTGCGACGACAATAAATTTAGGGGCCTACTCTTCATCATTATGTCGATGACTGATGACGTTTGGTTTGCCATGTTTTATTTGCATGCATGATCAGTCTGCGAGTCATGATAAATATGGGTTTTTTTTGGGGGGGGGGATCTAAACTTGGACGATTGGTGGATCCATGTGTGGATCTATCTGTACATGCACAATATGGAGCGGGATTGCATGATCTTTCGTAGATTTCATTTCTTTCTCTTTTTTTGTGCCAGGCATGCCAGGTGTGGCCTATGGGAGGGGGGGGGGTAGCTTTTCTAACACGTTATTCATTACTGTTTCATCTCTTTGTTTTCTGCATGAAGACGATTTCTTCGGAAGCCCAATGTTGCCGAAGCAAGTGATCAGTTTGGTAAGATCAGTGGCTAAGTAATCTGACAAACAAAATCAATGCCCAATGAACCTTTCCTGCCATGCCTGCTTGCCAGTCAAACAGTACACATTGACCAATGATATCATGACTTAGGATCAGATGACCGTTTTACATATGTGCCATCGGTCGATTGCGTTGTGCTATTGGTTGATCATGATGCTATCGGTCGATCCCCCTGCCACCAGTCAAACACCTTTTTGTTTCTAATTCACAACTCTGGAGGATTGTTAAGTGAAGTCTGAGATAGCCTACAGAATCGGCCCATTGCGCAACGCGATCAACTGATCACGCAGATCGACCGATTGCACCCAACATAAACATACCCCAAAGGTGGGCGAGGCTTATGGCCAAATTCTGAACAGTCAATTGATGGTGATGCTACGGCCCAACTGTGATAGTGGTCCCAAGTAAAGTACAGTCCAAACAATTCTTCACCGTTTTACCGAACTGGAACGCACGTGGTGTGTGCTGTCAGTTTTGTGAAAACCGCGGAATCAATAACAAAAATGTACGGAGTGCGCGCATGTAGTATAGGGTGTCAGTTTGTGAAAACCAAAATAATTTGTTGGTGACAAATTGCTAGGGAATTCTTGGATGATACAACATTAGTTCTGATAGGTGATATTGTGAGCCAATATTCAGCTTCTAATAGGCAAAAAGCTATTTTTTTTTATTTGCATTGTACTTGGAAGACACATTTCAATACATACAGGTGAAAACGGATAGGAAATTTGCTGTATTGGCATGTTTTGTAGTATATTCATTGGAACAATTGGCCATGAGGCCACAAAGATATATGAAATTAAAATCTAACCTAACCTAATCTGATCTGACTCTTGACGTGAATTCAACCTGAAGACATTTTAGAAATGGAGGAATTGTCTTTATTTTTTCCAGGTTCATTGGTGAAGACCCTTGAGAATCAGGAGTGTGCCTCCTACGCAGCTGTCTGTTGCTTAGCCAAAGCCAGGTATGATGTGAGATTGCTCAGGATTTTCCTGATTTCAGCAACTTTTTGGTCAGTATTTTTTTTGTCCAGATTTTTGTCTCGCCTGGGTGTGGTATGTCTGTGGTATTTTGGTCAAAGTTTCGTAAAATTGGTCTCATTTCAAAAGTTAAGTCCGATTGGAACCAAACTTGGGTCATATAGATGCAGCATGGGAACCTTCAAATGATAATGATGTCAAAGGTCACGCACCAAGGTCAAAGGCCTGTCATTATGGATAATCACAAAAGCAGGCGAGATGCATGGTTCAAGAGCCATCTTGTTTTCCTAATAAGGATTTTAGATCCCCTTCGAACTTTGGAATACCGGCGGTTTTACTGAAAACAGGCAATTCCAGCTACATGTAATGTCGGTGACATAGCTTTAAGAGACCAGTAAATAAACTTAAAAAATGTATTTTTAAAATCTTACATAGGCCTACATCCACCATCTAGTAACGGCCAAGGAGATTACAGACTAGGAGTTTTGGATCATTTCTCTAAATCATTAATTAGATATCATGGTTAATGCTCAAATTGCCCATACGTATACCGTAGACAATACATTGCTGTTGGGCCCTCTGCCGGTTATTTTGTGGAGTTTTCATTTCGCCCCAACTCACCCCAAAAAATCTATGTGATGGGCCCTTGACTGTTGCTCTGAACTTTCCCACGAAACCACAAGATTCCTAACAAGCCAGGCTGTTTTCAGATTTTTCTTCATACTCTTTAAATCCAAGTGTCATTTTGTTTCCCTCCTCAGATGTGAGCACACTTTATCCAACATGCCAGCAGAGGCCGAGGCGTTGGTGAGCGCAGCGCATCACTTCATGCACGCGGAGGAGGGGGACCACGCCCTGAAATGCCCCAGCTTCGAGGAGAATCTCACGGCTGCCATCAACTGCTACAACCATGCTGTTAGGGTGAGTTTTATTACCAGTGTTCAAACTCTGCACCCAATTTTATGAAACTCACTGTAACGACGCATCGTGTGATTTGTGATGTCATAAGTGCAACGCTTTAGAATCTCTCACTTTGGGTTTGTTATCACAGGTGTACATTGAGATGAAGCAACCGGCATTGGCAGCGACACTGTCCATACAACTTGCAGAGTCATTGAGGGTAAGTAGGCGTCAACCTTTAAAGGCAGAGAGGGGCATTTGCTTTGTCATGAATTTTGTTTGGTTCCAATAATAACACCACTCAAAATCCAGAGAAGAATGTTCAAAACCTAACCTGTTGAAGTTTCAGCTCAGTGGATATTACACTTTTCGAGAAAACAGTGGGAAAAACATGCACAATCTTTCGATCATGAAACAAAATTTCGTCAATAGAACTAAAAAATCTATCGTCTTTATTCCAAAAATATGTCGGTTGACTGATCTAAATGACAGCATGCCAGATGGATTTATTTCACGGGGTGTTAAGTACCAGTATGATCTTCAATCCAAGTAAGCTTTTTAGTAATAATTTGGTGGATTCTGACAGATGCTAGGAGAAATCCTTGGAGACACAGGACTTAAAGAATATTTTTTTTTTTCCTGTTTATTTCCCCCTCGTTTAAATTTTTTTTATTGTATTGGCAGAAATTGGAGAAGCGTGGTGAAGCAATGGGGCACTACCAGCGGGCAGCAGATTTACAATATCAGGTAGACGAGACCAACTTCTTCTTTGCACATTCTGTCAATTCAACAGCAATTTTTGTGGAGTGCCGTGGTCCAGTGGTTATGGTGTTCGACTCATGTACTGTGGTACGTAGGTTCGAACCCTGTCAGGGAACACGGTGCCTGTGTTCTTGGGCAAGACACTTTACCACAATTGCCTCTCTTCACCCAGGAGTAAAAAAACGAGTACCTGTGAAGGTAGAGACCAGATTGCACTGATTTCGAGCTGCTGCAAAAAATGGTCTCATGGCCTGATGAACAGGGGTAATAATTGTGAAGCGCTTTGAGACCTTTGCTGTAAAGGGCTATGTAAGCACTGCATGATTATTATTTCTATTATTATTATTAAATTATTGTCCATTGGGAAGCCAGAAATTCATACGTACGATGTAAATAGTTGAAATTTTTTTGCATGTCTTGTAGCAAGTAAGTATTGTTCTCTTTTCTTGATTTACTCACAGAGTCCTTTAGACTGTCTTCATTCTTTGGGGAACGTTGCTTCCTGTAAAATAGAAACGGGTAAGAACTGTATTTATTTTTTTTAAATAATAGTAAATGAAGTCATTGACTGACGATGAAAAAAAAAACCAACCGATACGCAAAATCTGAAGCTCAAAATCCAAATTCCAGACCAGGATTGTTGATTGGAAGAGATTTTCTTATTTTTTAGCTGCGGGAAAGATGCTCTACAAGTTCTCATGTCTTTCCGTTGGTTGGTTGGTTGGTTAGTAACAAACTTCATCAAATGCTTTTTTTTGGCAATCAATCACCTTGTCCCTTAGGCCCTCGCAACAACAAGTGCCTCAGGTCTGCACTGACCAGCTACCAATATATTGCAGTTGAGGAAAATTGGGTCACGAGGTCACTCAAATCGCATTGGGGCTAGCACTGTACTGCACACAAATTGGGTGCGCGACATGCTATAAAACGCTCCATGCACCAACTGACGTTCAACAGCTTCTTTGATCATTTTGAGCTTGTTTTTGTTTCAGGTGATTTTGACGGCGCTCTGGGTGTGCTGACTGAAATGGAATATCTTGCCCAGGAGAGAGGGACCAGTGGCCAGGGGGCCAAGCCCATCGGGGCATTCTCCGACGTCTTGGCAAACTGCCAAGTTTCTCGGGTCCTGCTGCTGATGCTGCTACAGGTAGGAGGAAATGTAGACTTTGAAAAAATGTTTTTATATAAAGCATCTTAGATAATGGTGGAGGGTGTGGCCTAGAAGTTAGGGTTCGTGACTCATGATCTGGGGGTCAGGGGTTCGAATCCAGCTGCTGGTCATATGTTGTGTCCTTGGGCAAGCCACTTCACCTCCACTTGCCTCTCTCCACCCAGGAGTATAAGTGGGTACCGGCATCCCATCCAGGGGGAAAAGAAATAGTCTCAGTCGTTTCATGCCAACGAAACCGGAAATAAACACTAGCCCGATGGGCCATGTTGACTCGTAACAGACTTAAATAATAAAAAAAAAATCTCAGATAATGAGTGTACAATAATAACAATGATCTCCTAGTAGTGGGTCGACCTTTTTACAACTCTTTTTTTTAGCCAACTGACTGCAGCCATTTTGGGAGTAATAATTTCTACACCCCATGTACAAACCATTTTATTCAATAATTTAATTTTTTTTCGCCATCTGTAGCCGACGCCTCAGCGCATCAGACCAGAACATGCCCAGACATTAGAGAGATATGCCTGGGAATCAACTGAGGAAAGTAGCCCAGGTGAGGATGGATTTGCTAATTTACTGGAAAAAAATGTGGCCTACGTGTATATCTGGTTTAATAAACACATGGTCTAGTCTGTATGTCCCTTCTGTTTACCAGTCTCTAAAAGCAGAAATGGTTTTCAAATAATTAAATAGAACGAGTTTAGTGAGCTTGCCATTTTGCTTTCGCAATTCTTGTTGCACTGTAACTTTTATTTTGCAAGTTATATTCATCAAAGCGGAAGACTTTGTTTTGTTTAAGAAGTTTTTTTATGGGCAATTCTTTTGGCAAAGAATATGAACCTTTCAATGTGCCTTAAAAACAAAAACTCACAATAAAACTTGCATTTTGCATCTAAAAACAAGATGCCAAAAATGACCACTTGAAATCAATATTGTTAAACAAAATTCGACCAAATTCCATCCACTGGCACACCACTCAAATGAAAGGTCTTGTTGTCCCCTTTAATTTGATACCGCATATAAGGTTGTGATGCTTGTAGTTCTGAAGATTTCATAAATTTCTCACGCTTCAACCATATCCACTTTTACAAGGAATCGCCGGTATGCAAGACAAATCTGATATGAAAGGAATGAATGATATTTTACACTATCATATTAGAATGAAATTTTTTTTCTCTCTTAATTTCTTCGTAGTTGTTGAATGTTTAAGTGAGGAGCTTTTCCTTCTGATGCAGTCAGTGGTGGTAAGTTATTCCAACTAAATTTCTTCAAAATTGATTGACAAAAACAAATTGTACACATTAATTGTACACACAAATGTAATGCTCAAACAATATTTTGTCTCTATACTTGAGAAATGACGATAGATATCCTGGCTTTCTGGGCAGGAGAAATGAATATCTGATGACTACTTAAAGTAAAATGTTTACACATGCAAATCATGCCGAGGTGTGAGAATTCTTTTCATTTTATCAGACAGATAATGTCCATGCCGGAGCTAATTAACCATGATAGAATCTAATTAATTATTCCAAGAAATGATCCAAAACTCCTTGACCACAGACGATGGATGTATAAGATTGGCAAAATACTTTTTCAGGTGTATTCATTGAGCTCTTAAAAAGCTCCGTCACAGACTTCACATAATGCTCGAATCGCCTGTTTTATTTGCCTATAAAAAGGTGCCCCTTTTACAAAGTTTAGGATTTTTCTTCTTTTGCCTCAAGAAAATTGTCCTGTGAATTTTCTGTCTTCACAGATGGCGTGTCAGTCAAGGGACATAGACTCGTTACAAGCACTGCAGGCTGACCTGTGGTAAGCACACTGACAACGGCTTGAAACATTTCTACAAAGAAGTTGACTGGAGCAGGGTTTGAACCTGCGACCTCCGGATTGCCGTTCCGGTGCTCTACCAACTGAGCTATCCAGCCCTATGTTTGCGGTTCCCCATTTCTGTCAATGTGTTAGTTCAAGGGGCGCTAGTCGCCATAAACCCGTATGCCACGTAGCCAGGGATCACAACGGAAGTCACGATGCTAGCAACATTAGCAATGCTGCAAACCTAGATAGCTCAGTTGGTAGAGCACTGGAATGGCAGTCCAGAGGTCGCGGGTTCAAATCCCGCTACAGTCAAGTTCTTTCCTCAACTTCAGTTTTTTTGTAATGCACCCAGTCAGTTTCCCATTGTGGTTTATTTGAAAGTTTATCTGTGTGTTCAAATGTCTGTCTGTGGTCAGCATTATTATTGTGCATCGACCTGTTGAAGTATCAATTAACTGGTGGAATTATAAAGTTGTAAAAAAACTGCTCGTTTTTCTACAATGTACATTTGTATTTTTTTTACAGGAATCATCTGACATCCGAACAGAATCATCTTCTACATCTTGTCATAACCAAACTCTCACATGCGGACCAAGAAACGACATACGAGTAACTTTTTTTTTTATATTGGTGTTAGGGAGACACATAGCTACAAGTTTAAGCTTAAAATCTGCCGTTCAAGTATCACAGTTTCATGTGTGTGTAGCTTTTTTTTTGTCAGGTCAATATAACTAGGGATGCAGTTAAGTCCATCACAAGTTCAGTCGTAAGTCCAGTCACAAGTAAATCACAAGTCCAGTCACAAGTCCAGTCACAAGTCCAGTCACAAGTCCAGTCACAAGTCCAATCACAAATCCAGTCACAAGTCCAGTCACAAGTCCAGTCACAAGTCCAGTCACAAGTCCAGTCACAAGTCCAGTCACAAGTCCAGTCACAAGTCCAGTCACAAGTCCAATCACAAGTCCAATCACAAGTCCAGTCACAAGTCCAGTCACAAGCAAATCACAAGTCCAGTCACAAGTCCAGTCACAAGTCCAGTTACAAGTCCAGTCACAAGTCCAGTCACTAGTCCAGTCACAAGCAGCAGTGGATGAACAATAACAAAGGAATGCCTTTGTCAAAGCTCATTTGAATAGCTTGGGAGTTGAATTGGGACCGGGGGACTTGTGATGGACTTGCAGGGACTTGTGCTGGACTGGATTACATGGGCCTTGTTCACGAGTCGGCCATATTGGATTGAGAGTGAAGTAAAATCTTCATTTTTTGGAACTTGTGTAGAGAAATGAAAGCAGTGACATTACAAATTAATGCCAGTCTGCTCTGATGAATCTTGTAAAATTTGTGATTAAACATACTGTAATGTTTTAAGCCACATTTAAAAAAAAAAAAAAAGTGAGGCTATAGTGAATAAATAGTCTGGCACCATCCCATTCAACAGTTCACAATTTATGAAATACATTCAGGGAACCCGACAAAAATGGCCAACTCGTGCATAAGGCCCATACAACAGCAGCTGCTGTACAAATATAATGAGTAAAAATTGTATTAGATAATTGTGATCTGGTTTAAATCATAAAACTGTCTTGGATATTATGTTGAATTCTGTCATTCAGTCTGTTTTTACACAAAGCTAAGAAAATCTTGTGGAGAAAATACTTCAAGGCTAAACTTAAAATGAAACAACTCCTTTTTTTGTTCTCGAGAGCTATCACAGTTGTCCCCTGAACGTTACCAAATGTGTATAAATCTGTATGGTTATTTCCTTAAATTATTTGTAATAGTAAAATCTATTGATCATAAAGAATCAAGTTTATCCTTTTGCTTCAGAATGAACTCACAGTGGCATGACTTTTTGTGTAAGGCATTTGCACAAGTTTGGTAAGATTATCACATATTTGCAGGGATTGCCACGGATTGGGAAAATTTAAGCCAGAATTTGTTCAAGATGATAATGATTGCATTAAAAAAAATATTGAACAATACAGTAAAAAGTTTCGTTATTCATAGCCCTTTTGAGCCTCTTGAGTTTCTCTTTCTTCTAGATTGAACATACGCGGAAAAAAAGTATACAGTTACAAACGTATGATACCCGAGAATTGTGCCATGATGCAAGTAAGGACATACATTATCTTTGTTTCAATTTCATAGGTTTTGATTTTATTTTATTGTTAATGTAAAACGATCACTTCCTTGTGGCCTAAATGAGCACTTTCATTAAAAGGAACAAAGTTGGAATAAGTGCAAACACTTTCACTCCATGTACATGAGCTGAAATTGAATATGGCTCTATCTAGCCCTTCATCGCCAAATATGGTGATGTGGACAGATATGCAAATGAGGGACGTCTGTATGCAAATGAAGTGTATCAGCCACTCAAAGAAACCTATGCAGATGAGAAGGCGTTGCAGTATGCAAATGAATGAAGGGAACTCTATGCCAATAAGCCTATGTACCGATGACGTCCACTTTGTTTACATGTGCACTTTCCTATGGAGCCAGTGGGGGCCCACGGTCCACTGAGCACCATAGGAAAGCACACTCGTAAACAAGGTGTGACGTCATCAGTACAGAGGCTTATTGGAAAAACCCATAATGGTTATTCTCGGTTTTTATATCCATATGGTGGTTTCCCCCCTTTTTTGTTCAATGTGCAATTTCTCCCTCCCACCTCCATGGTCTGAGTATCATCCGTTGTTCAACGGAGCCCGCTCCGTATTCAACGTCTGGTGTGTGTGTACATGCAAATTGTATGTGACCCCGTACGCCAACCAATAGGAGTCGACTTTAGAAATTATGACATCAGTTTGATCAGAAATGTGAACTAAGGTATTAATTGATTGGCCAATTTGGCTGCCATGTTTTTGTAATACAACGGGTTACGGAAGACCCGATTGAAGGCGCCCGCTGAATGGTCAGAATCTGGAGATCAAGACGCAGTCTAGTTTTGCATAATTAATCACCGAATCTGCTGGCATATCATAGAACATTGCTGTGAAAGGGGATTTCCATGGTCTCACGAAAATCTTGTGCAACACGTACACAGTCTGTGCAAACACATTCCGATATGAGACGCACAGCCACACTACTGCGTATGCTTTTGATATTGCATATATACATAGACACAGTTTAGACAAGAAAAGAAAAGTTTCACTTTTGGGGTTTAGACACCCCCCCCCCCCCCCCCCCCCCCCCCCACTTTTAGGACATTTTGTGAAAATGATAGAACAAGGTGCATCTGGTTTTGTAATATGCTCTCACCGCTTTCAATTTTAGTTTCATTAAGACTGATCATATAAATGTGTCAGCCAGTCCATGTGGATTAAAAAGGAATGCTTGCAGTTTCTAAGAGTCATACAGCTTCAAGATTCCACCAGGCTTTTATTACACTCATTTATCAGAAAATTGGACCACGTAGGTTCAAGAGTTTGTCATCCGTTGTTGATCCATTCAATGTATTAACAGCCATGCAGAATAATTCAGAATTCTATCAAGCCCAAAACAATTTGTACAGGAAAAATGCAGACTACACTGCCATCGCGTCTGAAGCCACCTTGTACTTGGTACCGGTCGGCCTATTGTTGAACGCGATGTTTCTGTACGTCGTGGCGCGTATACGATCCATGCGGTCCATCATCAATGTCTACTTGGGCAACTTGGCGGTGGCTGATAGCATTTACCTTGCGAGTGCGCTCACTAGTACAGTGGCAGCAGTGCCTGTAGAAGCAGCATGGCCTCGGGTAGTCGTTGGGTGTATCTCAGTTTCGAGCAACGTGGCATCCTACTTGATCGTGACAGCATTGGCTGTGGAGAGGTATTCGGCCATTTGCCAGCCATTTGCTATGCGAGCATCATCTAGCAAAACTAGAGCTGCCAAAAGACTGGCTGTAATATGGACAGTCGCACTCATCATAGGGAATGGCTATGATTCTGCATGCCGTTGGGATGGAGGGGCGACGTCACAGACCATCGTTGTTGCTCTGCTGCTAATCTTATTTACAGTGGGACTGATCACCAATGCCGCCCTGTATAGTGGGATCGTCAAGAAACTACGGCAGCAACCACAGATGACGTCAACAGCTGACCATCAGCAACGACTGCGCCGTGTTGTTCTCATGCTCATTGTAAACACTGCATTGTTTTTCATCCTCAACGTCACAAGCGTTGCCCAAATGATCTTTCACTTGATCCTCCTTTGGTCCAACATGTCTGTTTTGAGTACCTTCAAAACTTTCCCATCCTTTGGAAAAATGGCACTGGTCAGGTACATTTTCGTTTTGATCAGTTGTTCGGTGGACCCTCTGGTGTACAGCGGTGCAAACTCAGATTACCGAGCAGCCGTAGTGCAGGCATTCCCGTGTCTCAATCCGAAGTGTTGTCGCCGCTGTTTCCGGAAAGGCAAAGATCGCCCACAGCAGCCAGCAGTGCAGATTGGTTTGCAAGAAAACCTAATCCACCATGATGCCCCGCAGCAGCCAGCAGTGCAGATTGAACTGCAAGAAATCTGCCACGGCCAAGATACCCCACAGCAGCCGGCACAGCAGATTGAACTGCAAGAAATCTGCCACGGCCAAGATACCCCACAGCAGCCGGCACAGCAGATTGAACTGCAAGAAATCTGCCACGGCCAAGATACCCCACAGCAGCCGGCACAGCAGATTGAACTGCAAGAAATCTGCCACGGCCAAGATACCCCACGGCAGCCGGCACAGCAGATTGAACTGCAAGAAATCTGCCACGGCCAAGATACCCCACAGCAGCCGGCACAGCAGATTGAACTGCAAGAAATCTGCCACGGCCAAGATACCCCACAGCAGCCGGCACAGCAGATTGAACTGCAAGAAATCTGCCACGGCCAAGATACCCCACAGCAGCCAGCACAGCAGATTGAACTGCAAGAAATCTGCCACGGCCAAGATACCCCACAGCAGCCGGCACAGCAGATTGCACTGCAAGAAATCTGCCACGGCCAAGATACCCCACAGCAGCCGGCACAGCAGATTGAACTGCAAGAAATCTGCCACGGCCAAGATACCCCACAGCAGCCGGCACAGCAGATTGAACTGCAAGAAATCTGCCACGGCCAAGATACCCCACGGCAGCCGGCACAGCAGATTGAACTGCAAGAAATCCACCACGGCCAAGATACCCCACGGCAGCCAGCACAGCAGATTGAACTGCAAGAAATCCACCACGGCCAAGATACCCCACAGCAGCCAGCACAGCAGATTGAACTGCAAGAAATCCACCACGGCCAAGATACCCCACAGCAGCCAGCACAGCAGATTGAACTGCAAGAAATCCACCACGGCCAAGACACCCCACGGCAGCCAGCACAGCAGATTGAACTGCAAGAAATCCACCACGGCCAAGATACCCCACGGCAGCCAGCACAGCAGATTGAACTGCAAGAAATCCACCACAGCCAAGACACCCCACAGCAGCCAGCTCAGCAGATTGAACTGCAAGAAATCTACCCCACACAAGATATCCCCCAAATAAAGTAATTATCCCTTCTGTTACAAAAACATCACATTTCTTGTCATTCTTTTTCAGTAGAAAAGATTTTATCTACATGTCAATACCACTGGTTTTCCTCACACTGAAATGAAATGGACAGTAATTAAAAAAATAGAAAGCTGGTCTTCACATTTTATTCCATAAAGATTCATTATTGACAGTTTTCTTAATGTAAAACACTGTTTTCGTTAACTACTGAACACAGAAAGGCTACCTACTTACATGTGTGAATTATTTAAGTCTCACTTCTTTATGAAGTGAAAAATTGGGTATATTTC